TAACCCATGGAGTGACATGGTAAATTGGTACATTTGAGGAAGAAGACTTTGATGGAGGTCTTTGGAAAGTATGCAACAAAGGGAAGGTTGCTATGATAATCCAAACAGTGAGGCCAATGAGATGCTCAGAAGGTAGAGATGTTGCTGTCAGCCAGGCAAGCTGAGTCTGATCTCTGGAACAGACATAAAGGTAGAAGGAGAGAAGGGACTCCATAAAGTTACCTTTGACCCACACACATGTACCTTGGCATACACACCTCACATATGCATCATGAACAGGCACACACACGCACATACACACACACAAACATACACACACACACACACACAGCAATAATACATACACACACATAGCAATAACATATACATACATAGTAATAATACACACACAGCAAAAATACATATACACACAGCAATAACACACACAGAAATAATACACACACAGCAAAAATACATATACATACAGCAATAATACATACATACATATATGCATACATACATACATACATACATACATACACACATATAAAGATGTTGAGTGTTAAGTAAGAGAATTTGAGTCAGGAAGAGCAGAAAGAGTGGAAAGCAAGATGCTGTCAGAAATGAAACACAATATTGTAAAAGAAATACATTTTCACACAGGTAAAACAAGTTGAAGTCATTGGTATCTATCTATCTATCATTTTTTCAGATGCTTTTTGCTTCCTTACTCATGACTAGTATTGCTTAAAGGTTTTGCGGCCCCCTCCTTTCCTCCTTCCCTCCCTCCTTCTGCCTGTCTCCTCCCTTTGAGGCTTTGCACTGCTTCTCAGGCTGTCATTAAACTTGGGGGCTTCGGGGATCTTTATGTCTCCAAGTCCCTGGGATTTAAGGCATGTACCACTGTTCTAGGTGACCTATGGAATAAAATTTTCTTTTATTCCATTTCTTTGTTTGATGCAAGATTCTGAACACCACCAGTCTAATAAGCTGGGGTGAAACACTGGGCTGAGATTATTTCCTGCTTCCTCTATATTCGTGAAGAGTTTACACAGAATAAGCATTTCTTCTTTGAATATTTGGTTGGATTTACAAGCGAAGCCAAGAATTTTAACATTTGCTAGATACACAGTTATGTGAGCTGTCTATTTTTTTCAGATAAGGTCTCTGGTTACATGTTTGAAAGAATTTGCATGTTTTACTGAACTTACCAAATTTTGGCTGAAGTGATTTAGAATGTCCTTACATTGTTCCTTGATGTCTACAGTACCCACGCCGATATCCTCTTTCAATTTCTAACACAAGCCATCATCTGTATTTCTGTTTTCTTTCTTCATCAACTTGACAACAGGCTTTCCCAAGTCTATTGATCTTACCAAAATTTCAACTTTGGTTTCCAAACACTGTTTTTTTCTGTGATGCATATTTCTACTGTCAATTTTTAAGTTTTTCTTTGCTGTGTGGTTAAATTATTTGTTTTTGACTGATTACATTAGAAACTTAGAACTTTGATTGGAGCTGTTTATTTTTATAATGAAAACTGAGTGCATCCATTTCTCTCTGAGGGGTTGGGATGCGCTCTCAATTTGGTATGGATACTTTGGTTGTGAACAACTTCAGAAGGTTTTATGTTCCTAATTAACTCTCGTGAAGATGTCTAGTAGGGCAGCTGTGGCCTCAGAATATTTGGAAATGAAGAAATGAAGACAGACAAACTGAGGGCTCAGGACGGGACTTGAAACTAGAGTTTGCTTTTAAATATCTTGCTCTTCCCACTACGCCATATGGATTCTAGGACTCCTTCACAAGTTATCAGATGTTGAAAAGTTGAAGAAATTCATAATCAGACAACATTTTGGATATAGGAAGATATCGAAAATTATTTTGGTCCAGCCTTAATAATCTTCTTCCCAGGGGCCCAGAAGAGAAGCTACAAATGGCACAAATGATTTTCAGGAAAAAGAATCTAAGTACACCAAGCTAGAGACAAAGAGCTTGGTGTACTTTTGTTCTTCTTCGTTCCCCTAAGCTTTTGAGGTTTACAGTTATAAGCCCAAGCAATTGCAATCCTCTTCCTCCAGCCAGGCCACCAGGCTTGAATTCTTACAGGGTCATAAAGGCAGGTAAGAATTTTCCTCGGTCAGTGACTGTCAGGTTTTCTTTTACAACCTGAAAATGGAGTGGTTAAAGGAGGTCAACTGAGAGTTAGTATTAGTTAATATATCAAAAAGAGAATTGATGTGCTCAGTCTACATTCTTAGAAGTGGTTAGGTAAAATGTTACGAGTCTACAGTGTTAGTATAAATACCACTAAGGCTGTATAAGAATGGAGTGGTCCAACTGACCTAGGCAGCGTCTCCGTATGGAATTTACCTTACTTCAGCAGACTAGCATGTGGTGGTCTGAATGTGATTTCTGTTTGTCCTTGGATGTAGCGGAGGGAGATATCTGATTCTAGTGCTTAAAAAGGGGGAAACCAGACGGGCCTGAGGCTGTTCTCCAAATGCCTCAAATGTCTATGTCCAAAGAGTGACCCGTCCACACTGTTAGCGATTCTTAGGGAAAAAATCAATTGGAAAAACTATGAGCCGGGCGGTGGTGGCACACACCTTTGATCCCAGCACTCGGGAGGCAGAGGCAGGCGGATCTCTGTGAGTTCGAGGCCAGCCTGGGCTACCAAGTGAGTTCCAGGAAAAGGCACAAAGCTACACAGAGAAACCGTGTCTCAAAAAACCAAAAAAAAAAAAAAAAAAAACCTTTGAAGACACACTTGATATTCATAGCAGAAGACGGCTGATATATTAAAACCCAAAGAGCACCAAATACCCCTTGAGATTTGGCTTCATCTGAAGGAATTCCTTGATCCCTTCAGGTAGTGGCTTTGTCGTAGCCAGCTGAGTTTTTATTTTATATTCCTGCGGCCCTGTAGCAGGAAGAGAAGAACAACCTCTTTACAGGAGAGGTGTTTTTGGTTTTTTTCACCACGGTGCTGCTGGTTAAGGTGATCAGGTGATATCTTCTTAGTTTTGTTGCCTTAAACACCCTGATATACACCCCTAAATGCTGTTTCATCTGGGGGAAAATCACCTATTCTTTTCTGTTTCCAGCCACTGTAGTGGAATTGGGCTAAATATGGCTTCATTTACTTTCCATTAGAGTCTTCCATATTCAGGCAGACATGTCCAATCTAAGAAAGCAACAGGGAACAGATAGAAGAGTAGGTTGGGGGCCCTAGAATGTAGATCTCGGAGGAATCAGCTCTGTAAAGTAGATCCTGGCTGCCCTCTGTGGAATTCAGAAAGTCTTCGGAAACTGTGATTTATAACCAATCATAGCATATGAAATAACATTTGCATGACTTGAGAGTATCAGAGTGTTAATAATAACTATATAAAAATATTCTTAGAATTTAAAGAGAGGAGTAAGAAGCAAAACTTGACAGAAAATGGGAAATATATAAATGGGCCTCATCATCAAATTTACATTAGAAAAGTTATTAAAAATTGCTTTTGGAAGATGTGCTATGACAAGACAGTATGCTCACCATTTAAACTGACACTTGGGCATGTGGTTAGATACTGTTCTGGGAAACAATAAGCAAAAAAATAAAATGAGCCCAGACCTAGAAGAATATAGATGCAAATCCAGCAATCATGAGGCTGAGATAGGATGGTGAGTCCTGTGTTATCCTGAGCTACACGATGGAACTCTGTCTCAAAACAAATAAAAACCCAAATCAAACAAATAAACAACAAAAACAAAAATCCCTTACAAAGACTCTAAACAAATAATTAAAATAATACAAAGTAAAGGCCAGCGTTGATGTATGAAATAACAACCAAACAGATGGAATGTATTCAACAGCTCATTCAGATAGCAGCAAATTTTTCTTTGCAAAACAAGAGGCTGTGGAAACCAGACATAAATGCTAAGAAGCAATTAATAGTCACAAAAGTCTGCAAGGAAGCACTGTGCTTCCTGTAAAAGAGAAGAAGAAAGATCCGTGGAAAAACACTGTTTAGATGGAAGAAGAAAGATGACTTCAAAGAAGGGAAAATGGAAGGAAGCAAGTCATCTAAGGAGGATAAGATGCTTTGATGCTAGGAAATGTCTGATGGTGACAAGCAGGAAAAACCTTAACCAACCAGGAACAGAGGAAAACAAAAAACAATATATTTAAGAATTTTAGTCACAGTTTTTTCACTTAGCATAAAAATACATCTGGGGTGGGGAACTGTGAATGGTTCAGTAGGTGAAGGTGCTTGCAACCAAGAGTGATGACCCAAGTTTGATTGCTGTTACCCACGCGATAGAAGGATAAAATCAATGCCAGCACACTGCATCCTCAGCCTCCATTTGAGTGTTGTTATGGAACGTAAGTTTCCACACCCATGAAAATAAATACATTAAATAAATAAATACTTGTAAAAAACAAACTACACGTGGTGAAATTTTGAAATCGGCTCCAGTCTGTGCACATCTCAGAGACACATACATATATGCACATGGAATGTGGATCCATGTCAAGAAGTTCAAAGTTCTCCTAAATAGCATTCGTACTTTCTGTGTTGAGGTGCAATTCCAAGTCTATAGCATAACACAGGGATATAGAGCAGCATTCTTCAAATCAATACTGTACGGAACATTTCTTTTTTTCATTTTGCTGGAACCAAAGCATCCCCCGTAAAATAAACTTGGGAAAGTCCAGGACACTCAAGCCTAAACAGATGCCAATATGTCATTACTTCTCACTGCCTCTTACATGCAATGCAAGATCATGTCCCTCATCAGCTAAGCATGATTGAGATTAGTCAACATGTATTCATTTTATGATGCTATGAATCCAGAGGGATGTGTACTATTGCCCCCCCCCCCCCCTTTACATTGACATAGGAACTGAAAAACAGCAAGATGGAACGGTGTGTTTTAGTATCGAAACAGCTGGCAAATTAGAGATAGGATTCGTTCCTGGTCCGTAGTCTGTGTTACTAACCTTGTCAATAAAAACAGGAAACAAATAATAAAGGGACCAGGAAATGTTTTTATTTTGATGGAAACTCATCAGTCTTCTATGTAATTCCGTTATATAGAGCATGATATGGAAAGTAGTAACACAACTAATAATGTGGGTTGAATAGCAAATATATGTGTGTGTATGTATATATGTATATATATATATATATATAAGCTAAGACAATATACAGTTATGTAATAGAAAATTCATAAAAACAGTAGTAAATACTTACAAAACTTGATCACTTCTTAGACAGCTAAAGTATCTTAGTATATCCTATATAGAACTAGGACATACATTTTATATATTTCATATTCCTTGGTAGCAATGCAACTCAACTAGTAATTAGTAACTGTATCAGTTATTATATATTTGCGGCTGCTGAAGTGGAGTCTTGAAATAATGGTCCCTAAAGGGATAGATGTAAATTTCTCTCTTACAACAATAATTTTGTACATTTTCAGGTCAGATAAAGTAGCTCCTTGGAGACTGGGTCTTCTGCTTGCTCATTCCAGAAGCTGCTGTTTTCACCTGGGATCCAGGTGGGGAGGTCCAGATCCTTCCTTTTTCAGATCTGCATTTGAAGTATCAGGAAAAAGACAAAGACTTCCTTTCACTGTCACTGTTCACATCCCCTACCATCCCAGAATCGTCACTCAGCTCTCCTCTTGGATCTTGGTGAGATGGCCACAGACAGTTACAAAAGCAGGTGAGAAGAGGCACTCAGCTAAAGTATATGCCACCATATCAGAAGATGGTAGCAATGTTGGAGCTGTGGGTCAATCTTAGGAATTTGGATAAGAGGGGGGAGGTTGATTCCCCACTCATGGCAAGGTTAAAAATCAAAAATATTCATAGAAGAACTAAACACGGTAGGATTTTGCCAGACCAGTACTCAGAAGAAAATATAATGCTTTAATGTTTTTCATGTTAAACAAGAAAGAATGGAAATAGATTAATTAATCATTCCACTAAAAAAAGGAATAATTTTCTAAATGAGTATAAAATGGCAGGAATGAATTAATAAAGATACCATTGGAGATCAATAATTTATAAGTGAGAGAACAGTTGAGTGATAAATTTAAATGCTAGCTCTCCAAGAGATCATTAAAAGAGATAAACTGCAGAAAAGGCAAGCCAATAAAAAAGAAAGATGCTAATCCTTGGCATTATGTGTGAAAAGAGAATATAATCACAAGAAGAAAAACAATCCTATACTTAAACAAGAAACCAGCAGTGTCTGTCAGGGTACCTCCCCTGAACCAGGCCCTCATTCTTTAGTACTTAAAGGAGCTCAGCCCACACAAGGCACCTGTCAATACAGTAACTCATACATTAATCTGTTATAGTAACAACATCCAATTCAACCTAAAACAATCTTGGAAATGGAGTAGAGAAGAGCTGGGCATGCTGGTATATTTCACCATTCTGAAGGCTGAGACAGGAAAATCATGAGTTCAAGGCCACCCTGAGCTTCATGTTGACTTTAAGATCATTTAGGGCACTATCTTTTCTCAAATACCAAGCAAATCAACAAAGAAACTACAAAAGAAAGAAGGATGTTAATATATTTCTAGTATATTCTATATACCATTTGCTTTATTTAGTACTTTTTCCTTTTTACATTCATTTATTTAGTGTGTATGTGTGCTTGTATGTGTGCATGCACATACATGTGTGACCATAGGGAAATATGAAAGAAAATTCCATAGAAACACATTGAAAAAGAAGTTATTAGATTATTTTAAAATAGAGTTGGGTTGTAAAACTAGAAAACTTCTGTAAGTAACAATATTTCACATTAATAAAAGATCAAACCAACAACAGTATATACAGTTTAAAGATTGTGTTTATCCAATAACTTGTAATATCCATGCTAGAATGATAGATGATAGAGGCATAAATCAATGATAATAGAATATAGATAAATATAAAATTATTTTTATGTATGAAAAAAGAATATAAATAAATAATAAATAGATAACATAAATACATAGATTAGAAATAACATATACATAAAAAAATGTAGTTAAATGGTAGATAAAATGTAGCAAAAAGACAAATAATTCCAAAGATATTTCAGAAAATTCAACTGATTACTATTGAGGGGTGATAGAGTAAATAGAAAAGACAAAAATTGTATATGCAGGATCTAAACAACCCAACCAATGACTCACTGGCACACACTCGCATACAAATTGGATTAAATACATAGTATCTTTAGATATACAATGAACCCATACCGAAAATGAATCTTAACAGATTCCAACTAATAATACAGAGACTAGGCTTCTAACTACTACTGATTCAAATTTTAAAAAATAGGATAAATAACTAAAAATCTCTAACTTCTGAAAGTTAAGTCATTTACTCTTCAATAACATGAGAAAAAGTCAGTGGAGTTTCGGTGGTCTGTCTATGAAGCGTCAATGGAGCAGATTTTTTAAAAAAAGGAATAAAAATGAAGTCATGTTCTTTAGAGAGTTTTAAATTCTCATGTTAGAGAAGAAAGGGGTTGAAAGTCAACATCTAAGATTCCATCTCAAGAATTCTCCCAGCAAAATGAACAGCACATTATTCATGCAAAATAGATTGACATAAACAATAAAGGGTATAAATAAATGAAATACAAAGCACACACATTATATATACATTCAACAATGTGTAAAGTTCTTTTCTGGTTTGGGATAATAAAATTGCTAACAACCTACATGATTAACCAAATAAATAAAATAAAACCTGCTTATCAATATAAGAAACAAAAATAAAGACATCACTCTTAGTCCTACTGATATCTAAAAATAAAAAATATATTTAATTACTTTATGTAAATGTCCTTAATAAATAAGGTAAAATGAACTATTTAAAAATATAAAAGCTTTAAAAATACATAGATATTTGAATATCATATTTGCTTTGAAATATTTTTTTTTAATTTTGTAAGGAAACACTATTTCAACTGAATCCATCAAGAAACTTTTTTAAGTACTTAGGAAAAAATAACAGAATTTCTACACAAATCCCACTACAAAATGATGGAAATAGTTAGAGGAAACAATTTCCATTCAATGATGGGTTTATGTAAAATCTGGCAAAAATATTACAAAAAATTAAAATCACAAACGAACCACTTTCATGAATACAGATAGAAGTGTACTGACCAAAATATTAGCCAACTAAATAGAGCAGTACATTAAAATGGATGGGTCAGTTTTAGTCTGTGCATTATAACAGGGTTTTAGCAACAAAAGAATACAAATAGCTAACATTAACATCAAAAAGAATAAGAAAACTTGTCACATGAATTAAAAAGTTCAAAAACCAATCATGAAACCTCTTAGTATTCAGAGAACAGATGAGGTCTTCATCTGAAAATTGATCAGTTTATTAAAATATTGAAACCTCTTAGTATTCAGAGAACAGATGAGGTCTTCATCTGAAAATTGATCAGTTTATTAAAATATTGAAACCTCTTAGTATTCAGAGAACAGATGAGGTCTTCATCTGAAAATTGATCAGTTTATTAAAATATTGTACATAATTGCAGAGGTTTAAGAATAGTCAGGAACCTAAGGTCAGCAAGATGACTCAGTGGGTAGAGGCACTTGTTACTATGCTTGTGGACATGGATTTGATTTCCAGGACCCACGTGATCAAAGGCGAGCCACAAGATACCTTATGTTCTTCTCACATGTGCTGTGACACAAATGCCCTCAGCACACAATGAATGAATACATAAATTTAATTTTAAATGTGTTTAAAAAATAGTCAAGAGTCTTATAGAAGAGTGAGGAAGAATGACTTTCTATCAGCTATTGTCAAGACATGATCATTAAAATGGTATAGTTTTGACAATGTAATATGCCAGAAGAACCAATGTGAACTCAATAATATCCTACATTCATATGACTAAGGAGGTGCCACAGGCTATGGGAATGCCGGGAAGTGATTCCATTGGATACACACGCACACGCACACGCACACGCACACGCGCACACACACACACACACACACACACACACACACACAATTAAAATTCCTAGTATCAAAGAACAAGGCTGCAAAACAATAAAAATCAATAAGGAAATTGAATATTCTAGAAAGAGTCAATGATTTATTAATCAGTACATATCATTAACATTACATTAAGGAGAAAATGTTAAGTTAAACAGCATTACAGTCCAGTTAGTAAGCTTTACTATACTAATTTGAAGAATGTTTGGCTATGAAAAGGGCTTAGTGGAGTGTTAGTGCTCTGCACAAGCCTGACAACATAAATTCAGTCTCTGGGATGCATAGTCAAAGAATCCACTCCTGAATATTGTCCTCTGACCTACACACATGTGGCCTGGCTTGCACAAGAACACAAACACACACACACACACACACACACACACACACACACACACACACACACACACACATCACAGAAGTCTGCAATAATAATGAATAATAAAATTTAAAAAAATAAAGAATATTTGGTGACTAAAGACATCATAGATAGAATTAAAATCAAAACATATTGGTAAGTGGCATACACACATGCGTAAATTGATAGTATCCAAATTCATCTGGGCTATATTAAGAACATTTTCAAATCAATATGAAAATGATTCAGTCTAGTAGAAAACTTGGGAAAGGACTTCAATAGACTGTTGAAAAATGTGCGTGTCCAGAAGACCTGTGATAAATTCCCCCGATTACTTTGTTCATTATCTTCATGGAAGTCAGAAACTGATTAAGGCCTTTGCTAACCTACCAGAATAGAGGAAAGAGGTGGCAGACAACTCCAGTACCGGTGAGGCCATGGTGCAGCTGAACCCAGCCCGGTGCTGACAAAATACAAACTGGAGAGAGAAGTTTGGAGAAAAGCTGCACAGGCTCATTAAAGCAACACATGAACAATTGCATTCAGTACATATTCAGCAGAAATTAATACATGTACTCATATGCACGTATACACACATGAATTTATTATTGTAACAATGGTATTCATTTTAACCAAAAACTGGGGGGGAGGGCGACTGTGAGAGAGCAAATTTTTATAGATAATAGAAGGAGGGAGTCAATTGCAGAAATTTAATAATGAAGTGTATTATTATAAATTCTGAAAATAAACAAACCAGTGTTTATCTTCACCAAAATGGATAATAACTAAAGATACATATGTTGTAGAAGCCATTCAAAACAATCAGCAGTGCATAATTATAAACAGTTAAAACAAGTAAATTTCTCTTTGCTTCTAAGAGGGACAGTATCTGGAAGCTATTACTTCCCAGGGAGGAAAATGAAGATTTCTTCCCAGCTGCTGGTCTGCTGAATTACAAAGTTGGGCAGCTCATATCCATGTGTAACTCAAGCTCCAGGGTGATCTGACGCCCTCTTCTGGCCTCCCAAAGCACCTGCAGAATGCAGGATGTATTCACACACACACACACACACACACACACACACACACACACACACACACACACATACACACACACACACACACACACATATATACAAACATAAACAAAAACACAAATAAAACAATAGAAATGAAAAAAAAGAGGTGTTGTAATGCAATTAACTCAGCTACAATGGAAATCAGTATGGAGTTGTCTCAGAAACTAAAATCAGAACTACTTTACCTATTTCACACAACAAATTAAGGTAGTTTTATGCATACTAGGAACTTTATCTTAAATTGAATAAATTTGAATAGTAATATTGTCTAGAGATTGTGTTCAGTAGTGCAGAGGTAATTTTTAACATCTGGTGAATGTAGTGGTAGGCATTCTCAGTGCCTAGGAATGCCAGCATCACTGGATGTCATTTGAATATTTTTATTTGGATTACTTGCTAGCACCTCACTCTCACCCCTGCAAACTATTTGTATAGTTTGTGACCAGTGCTCTAAGATAATTGGCAAACTTGGGGAACTAAAGGATGGTGTGCAACTTATTTTAATGCTACTTCCGGCTGTATACCACACACCATCTGCATTTCGAATGTACACAAGCAGTAAGACCCAACAGAACCATTATTAGCGTCTTCCAAACAGACGCTGACTTCATTCATCATCTATCAGTTTGGGAACCCTGACAGATTTGCTTATTACCTGACTGCCACATTTTCTGAATTTCAAAAACAGACATAGTTTCAAAAACAGGATGAAAAGAAAGAATTTTTTGGGGAAAAAAAGCTTTCAGGAAGGAGTTGACTTGAGTCTCAAGGCAGGAGGCCAGGGCACGTTCATTTGCATAAGAAAGAGGGGGTGGGGATGGGTTAGGGTAGGTAATGGTAATTTTAGGAGGCCAAGGATCTGTGACAGAGTTTGAGAACAAGTTTGGAAAGGGAGTGTTGGAATGAACATTGAAAGACTTATCGATGGATGGTTCTTTGCTGTGCAACACCTAGTACAGACAACGATTTTTGGAGTATTTGGAGAAATTGCAAACTATGAAGGCTGCACCCCAGGGGATAGAAACATCAACACTTTAGGAAACAGAAAAGGCAGTAGTAGGGACATGTAACTAAATGAAAAAAACAAGAATGTATAGACTCATAAAATAGCACTGTGATATTTATAAATCAGTGCCATCCTCCCCACATCTCCCTTTATCTTTAATTATATTTCCCTTGAGAGAAATAACACAATATTTTAGTTTCACTAATGGTATATTGTGTGACACAGAGAACATCTCTTTCTGTTTGAATTGGGTTGTTACTGGATACTAATATTTTAAAAATAAACAAAGAGACTCCCAGAAAAGGTAAAATGATCTATGTGATACAATTTACAATTCAAGGAAAATTATCATAATAAACCTATCATACATATGCAATATCTTGCACTTATCATACATATGTAGTATTTTGCTTAGGTTCTTAGTGCTCTTAACAAATGATAAGCTTAAAAACATCCCCACCAAGACGGAGGTAATTCATATTTTAGTTCAAGGCCACAGCAGGAGATGCAAAATTTCTTCCTGAGCTGTTTGTAATTTGAAAATATCGATGATTTATATATACTATGTAATGAATCAAAATGGTCATCAAGAGAGTGAACAGTAAATATTTAATGGCTTTGTGAACATCAGACCTATTATTTTAACTTGTTTCCATTACATGTAAAAGGAATATTGAAAAATGGTGGTGTTTTCTGCTGAAGACATCATGTTCTGAAAGCCTCGCTGCTCATAAAAATTTGAACGTTAATAGCAACCTTATAAATTATTTCATCCTAATTTTACTAATGAGATACAGGTAGAGAGAGGGTAAGTGATTTTTCCCAGTCAGGTTGACTTTTACCCCTTTTGGTTTTGTTGAGATCCGGTTTTACCCCTCTCTTAGTTACTTTCTATTGTATAAAACAAAGGGTTTTCAGACTGTGCTTTGACCTAGGGCACTCTATATTACAAACAGCTTTTTGTTCCGTTTTAGAGGGAGATGACTGTGGTCCCTGGTGTACCCATAACCCACAGTATTCATTGAGTACCACCCATCTAGTTCCAACTGATAAATGACCTATTCCTTGTAGTAGAAAGGATGCCACCTTTTAAGTTTATTGGTGTGAACTGAGACTTTGAGGGCACCTGGGCATTTTTAAAATCATAGCAGGGAAACTAGACACAAGAATGCACAAGACTCATTAGACCAAGGAAAAGCTGTATCTCCTTCACATGAACCTGGTAAAAGGATGGGCGTCTAGCACTATGATGGCAGGTCCTCCCACCAATCTATCATATGTTACCCTGGCCTGAATTCTTAGTTATCTTATCAATACAGACTCTATTAACATTTCCATCAGCCTACTTCTAGGACCTTTTGAATGCTGATGCAGCTTCTTTAACTTATATTCATTCTGTCTAAAGATATATTGTCAAACTCACTGTGGGTTGTGTGATGCATGATCTAAGATTTAACGTTAATAATTAAGATTGAAATAAAAGAACTTTCATTTGCCTTAGACAGATTACCAAGGGTTATCTAGCAAATTACTGTAGTTGAAACTACCAAACCTTGCTAATTTATTGTTATTCAGTAAGTTCTGACATTGCTGAGTGACACAGATGTGTTCCTATGTGGCACAGAGCATAAGAGACCGTTTTCTCCCACATTTCCTCTAATTTCCCTCCAGTGTGTTGGGTCTTGTCTTTGCTTTGATTATCTCTCCTCTCTTCTGGAGTGCACCAGCCCCCCAGCAATGCATTTTACTTAAATTTTCAACATAATCATGGAGAACTGGGTTCTATTTTCAGTTGGCTATTTTATTTTTTCCATTTTGGACTTCAGCACCTGGGAAGATTACTACCCTCATAAGAAGGATATCTAAACACCAGCTCTCATGTATGTGAATACACATCCTGAAGAATAACCATAGTAATTATATTGTGAGATAGAAAACCCAAATGAGTTCCAATTTCCTTTCCCAAAGCTAAGTATGTCCTTATAGGGAGATTGGTCTGAATTGAATTTTCCTTGCCAGTCCTTGGCCCTGCACCAAAATGGACATTTCCCTCATGTGTCTTCTGGCTATAATAGTCATAATGGGCATGGCCCAATATTGCCTTTTGAAAACACCCCTTGCTCAATGTTGCTTAAGTCATTATCTACTCCATACAAGTTCATCTTGCAGAGGGCTCATCACTGTTCATGCCCGTTTCCAATGCTGGTAAAATTCAATCAGTCGTTTTCCCCTTAGAGATCTATTTCTTCAGCAAGTATTTCTTACCATCTTTACAAGCCATGGGAATATTTTGGTAAGCAAGAAAAATATGTTTTCTTTCCTTACATGGCATTGAGTCCAGCAGGGAAAGCAGGTACTTAGATAACTAAGACTATTACGCTCATCCTGATCCAGAAATTACAGAATCCGAGATGGTCCATAACAAGAACAGCTGATACAGTTTCCAAAAGAAGTTACTCTTAAGAGGGCATTGCCAGATGAGTAGGCAGTCCCCAAGCACCACAAGCCAGCTTCCATTTTTTACAGTTGTGTTTGGGAAGTATTCTTTACTTTCAACAAAATCCTCTGGGAAGAATATTTTTTAAATGCATTTCATTTGGAAATAAAACTAAAGGTTTTGTTATTATTGTTTTGTTTTTTTTTTCTTTGGTTGTTTTTTGTTTTGTTTTTGCTCCAGAACACATTTGCTGCATTTAGATTTTCAGAATTTCTATAACAGGGTCTTAACCTCTGGATATTAAGTCTGCTAAAGACTTGGTTTTCTAAGAATGGGTCACTCCCAGAATTGCTTAGGTTAGTGTCCTCTATGAGTTGGTAGGCTCCACCCCAGTCTTAAGGAGACAACCACTGGGGAAATGGGAACCATGTCAAGTGTACATACTTCAAAGTTACCCTCATTAAACCATATTGACTGCCATCTTAGTTTACGGATTCCCAGTGTGACTAAAATTCTCCTCCCTAATTTTCTGCTAATTGCCTAAAAACATTCTCTGTATGCACTTTTCAGCCTCATGGCAAAGGCTCACCTTGACTATACCCCTATCACATCACCTAAGGCACTGTGTTGGTGCACAAGCATTTCTGGGAACTAAAGTGACACATGCCTAGGGCGATCGCCAGTTACTGCAGCCCTCTGACTTGGGAGAAACAGGAATTAGAAAGATCAGTGTTCAAAATTCCTGCTTCGTCTATCTGGAGTTGTATATTTTTACCTAGGAAGAGAAAAAAGTATGGTTACTGTAAATGGTTCGCCTCTGGCCAACTAACAAAATTGGGGCAAAGTTTATCAAAGTCACTTAGAGTTTGGAACCAACTATCCAATGTTTTATCAGCTAAATCATTTTGGTGCCAAAACTTTTTGAATAAAACTGTTACCTTTGTTAGGAGATGGTCAATCTGCTGAAATATGATAACCAATGGCCATTTGGTACATTAGAGAAGACTCAACTTTACTTCTCTCTAATTTGTAGATCAATATGAGTATTCTAAGCTGTTAGAACTTCTGCTCCATGGAATTCTAGAAAGTAAAAAAGTTGGCTTAAATTATTTGAATAGTTTTCATTTCTTCCTCCTTCTCTAGCCTATTATACTTATTAGGGAGGTAAATCAAGTAGCTATAAGTTTCTGTTAGTTGGAAGAGTAAGAAAGGTAAGGAGAAACCCAAGGAAATACTATCATCTGTTCTCTTCTTATTTCAGAAAGGGAAATACAAACTCGGGGTCACATATAACATAGGGACTCAGAAATCCAATTCTGGAAGAGTAGCCAGCCTTATGCCCAGCTCCACTGCTGTGGTGAATAAGTAGCAGATGCTGGTGTTCAACCAACCATCTGCATCACTGTCCTTTAGAAATGCAAGCTGAACAATAAGCTTTACCCATGGAGTGGGTTATTGGCTCTGCCAATGCATGTGTAGTTTTTCAGGAGCATAGGAATTTATTGGTTTAATAAGGAATGAGGCATGTTCGCTTTGGGCAAATGTCTGTGTAATTTATTGCTGCCCAACAAATCACCCTGCCTCCTAGACTTAAAGAAAGAGTTCATGAAGTTTCCCCTGAAAAAGGAAAGATGTTATATTTTTAGGCTCTTCACGCCATAGACTCTCTGATTATTCAACTCTACCACTTTTGTACACTATGAAACTAATCTTAGATAACATGTAAGTAAATATATGTTTCTGTGTCACCCCAGATTCTGCATTTTTAAAAATAGCTGAATTTTTTCCATGAGCTACCTGGCTTAAAACAATTGTATTACCTATTCTCATGAGTCTTTGGGTGATGTGCGACTATCTAACACTGGACAGGTCATCTTAGTATACTATAGCCACTGTCATGTAGCTAGTATTTTGTTGAGGGCCCTTAGCTTATATAACATCTCTCTCCTGTGGGCTCCCTTCTGCTTCCTGGAAAGTAACTCAAGCTTCTTTGAAATGGTGACTTCAGGACAGCAGATATGGCAACCTTGATAAATATCTCCCTTAGTCATGCTGCCTAAAGTGATATTGGACAAAGTGTGGCAATTAGGAAAGCCCAGATTGAAGTGGCAGTGGGGGTGGAGGGGTGGGGTATGGACTAGCATATGGCAAAAGTGCACACACTTGGAGACAGAGGAATTCTTCTCACTTTTGTAAACAATCACACAGTTTGTTAAGTAATAACAATTTCACTTCAGTATTCTCAATATTACACAATTCCATAAATAAGTTTTAAAAATATTTTTGACAGTAAAATTACCTTCACAGTTTATAAACTATTTTGCAATAAAATGTGTATGCATAAGTTATTCTTACATATTGTAAAAATTACATTCTTAGAGCAGAAATAAAAAGGAAGGATCCAAAGAACAAATAATCCATGTTGAAGACTACCTAGATGAAAGAGGTTTTAGCTAGGCAAGTCAGTAGGCTGATTTACTGATGGTTTAATCTTTACTTAAATTCCTGATACCCTGCAGAGCCTACCTTTAATGGTTTACATTGTACACACTGCCTGTCATCATGATAGACACAGTGGCCTCTGGCTTAGAATATTCTATTAGAGCTTCCAGAAGAGCAGGGCATACAGCCAGCATCAGACCTCATAGTAACTTATCCAGGAGTATGGTGAAGAACTGAAGCCACAGATTTACTCTAATTCTGAAAAGTGTTTAAAATACCAAGAGGGGTATGTGTGTGTGTGTGTGTGTGTGTGTGTGTGTGTGTGTGTGTGTGTGTGCATGCGCACATGTGTTGATGGTTAATTTCTTTCAACTTTCCACAAACTTGAGTTAACTGGGAAAAGAGAAGCTCAACTGAAGAATTGTGTCCATCACATTGCTCATAGGAACACCTGGGGGAGGGGCATTTTCTTGATGAATGATTGATGTGAGACAGTTCACATCATGGCAGTGCCACCCAGAATGAATTGGTCTTGGGTTGCTTAAAAAAGCAAGTTGAGCAGGCCGTGGAGAGCAAACTAGTAGACAGCATTTCTCCATGGTCTCTACTTTAATTTCTGTTTCTATATAAATATATATACACATATATAGAGAATATATATCTATCCTAGTTGTGTGTATATATATGAATTTAATAGACAAATATTTATAATTGTATGTTGTCTTTGGAAGCTCCTAATAATACTTAAAGGAAAATATCTCACCTGTAAAGCCAGTAAAAGGATTTTTACAAATCCTCTTCCCCTGGAATTATGATGAACTAATTGAAATGCTTTCTAGTGCATTAGAATTGCAAAAGTGTTCACTGTTCTGTAGAACACGCTGAATTAAATTTCAAGAGTTATGATATTGATGTTTGCTACATACAGGCAACCTGAAATCTACCATCTATTGAAAGGTCTGCAGAGAGTACTTTCAATTTATTTGTTTCTTTTCCAGTGAAAATCAAGAAGGAAGACTTGTAAGGGCTAGGGATGTTGTCGGCCTCCTGGAATAATGCAGGAGGACTAGAGCCCTGATTTGCCTAATCTAGGATTGCCCACGTAATGCTCTAAATCACGTTGGTTGTGTGAGATCCGCTGCTGGGATGTTACTGGACAGGATACTAGGGAGATGCACACAGTCAGCTCCTCTGCTGCAGGAGGAAGTAGCTCTGAGACTCCTGCCAAGATCACACACATGACAGGGAGGAGGGAGCAGGGAGTCAGGCTCCTCGTTGTCTACAAAGTCTGTCTTCCAAGTCACTGTATAATGTCTTCCTCACATGCTAAACCACTACCATGATGAAGTGTAACAACATGAATAACCTCTTCAGAGACAGAGGTTCCTCGTTATTCTATCTTGAAAATTAATTTCATACTGGAAACATTATTTCAGAATTAATCAAATTATGCTAAAGGCCCAGAAACCCATGTATTTGTTATTTCTCAGGGTTTCCTTTTTCTCCTTTCCAACATTATTGTGAGGCTTTTGCAAGTTTCCATAGTGTCGTGGTTCATGTTCTCAACTCGACAAAAGTCTTGAATCACCTGGGAGACTGGTCTCTGTGGGGGATTATCTTGATTAAGTTAATTAGAAGGTAAGACCTACCCTCTGTGGGTGGTACCATTCTTAGGCAGGGTTTTGGAGAAAGTGAGCTGAGCATTGGTGCATATGGACTCATTGCTCTCTTCTACATGTAAACGTGATGTGTTCAGCTCCTTCAGGTCCCTGCTGTCTGACTCCCCCAGCAGGATGGACTGTGCCTTGAACTGTGAGCTGTTAGACAGTCTGTCTCCCTTAAGATGCTTTCGACAGGGTATTTTAACAGAGCAACAGGAAACACCACTGAACCACCTAGTGTTATATCTTACCCATGCTTTGCTGTAACGCTTTATCTTAAAATCATTATGCTTCATGCACCTGGGATAAGTCCTGGTCCCACTGCCAGGGGCTCCCCAGACAGATCTAGCCCCATAACTGTCACCCACATTCAGTTCAGTCTCATGCATGTTCCTCAGTTGACAGTCCAGAGTCCATGAGCTCCCACCAGCTTGGATCAGCTGTCTTCATGGTTTCCCCCATCATGATCTTGACCTCACTTGCTCCTCTGATCCCTCCTCCCTCTTTTCAGGGTGTGATACCTTGCTCATCCTTGACAGTGGGGAGGGACTGAGTCCTGCCTCAACTTAGTATGCCAGACTTTGTGGAATCCCCAAGGGAGGAATTACCCTCTCTGAGCAGAGGATGAGGAGTGGGATGGGAGAGGGTGGGAGGGTGCAGGAGAAGGGGAGGGAGGGACAACCGAGAATGGTATGTAAAATGACAAAACAAAACAAAAGAAAACAAAACAAAAACGAAACAACAAGAAAACCCAACTCTTTAAAATAAGAAAACGAACAAAAACCCTGTTATGCTTGTTCCCCAACCAACCTCCTTGTTTCCCCTTTTCTAATTTTCTCTATACACTCACTTGCTTATTTTTCTTACCTGCCACACAACTCTCAGACTTTCACCCTGGTTCCTCAGCAATTTAGCAGTAAGTAGATGCATAGAATCCCCATTACTAAAAGAAGATAGGTCCATATTTTAAGAATGATTTACCCTCAGTATACCAGGGATTCATCATCTGGAAATGGAGGTAAAATATTACTTACCTAATATTGAGCAAATGCTCAATGTATTAAAATAAACTCCTAAAACCATAAATGATAGCACAAACAAACACAAGGGTCTGGCCAGAAAAGCAATGCCTGAGACAGATGAGGTCCAGAAGCATGGGAAGCTAAGGGAAGGGCACATCTGATGCAGGTGGGCATATGCTAGTCAATTTGAAGTAGATTTTTCTGAAAGAAATAACATTTTATTTTCAGAATAAGAAACAAAACTGGTTGTGGACACATTCTTTACATAACACAGTTTACGCTGAGAATTTTAATTATTTGTTAAAATAATCAAAATACAGATAGGCACTGTTGACTGTTACCATGGATTGAAGGAATGGCCAATGAGTAATTAATTTTCCCAAATAACCATGTATGTATGTATTTAGCTTAAGAAATAAGAGAAGCAGTTTTGTGATTTAGTTTGTCTAGCTGATCTATCAGGGAACAACTCACGAAAACTTACCTATGTTTAAAACAGAGGCAGGTTTGCACAGTCTCAGAGGAAAGAGGGGTCAACCACCCCACCAGAGTTCTCATAATATCGTCACATGGCTGAATTGAAATAAGTGGATATCCAGCAAAATTGCTCTTTCACACTTCTGTAGAAAAGTGAAAGTAGAAATTAAATCATTTTAAAATAAAAGGAACCTAGCTGTTTATTTTCTTCCCATGTAAAGATAGAATATGTGCTGTGAAATTGATCATTTATAACGGACAGTCCCTACTGTGAAGAAGTTAAAAATCATCTTACCTTTTGTTTGATGGATCTTTTAATGGATCTGTGAAAAAAATGAGTGAGATCCCGACTTTCTGTTGAGATTATTACTTTTGCTCTATGGTACAGAGAAAGTGGCCAGTTAGCTGAATTGATCACAGCCTGCTAATGTTACACATCTTAGAATTTTGAAGAGTCATACAGAATGGTGACTAAGAATTTTATTTTGCCCTCGTGTATTTTCAACTACATCCAGGCAAATGAAGATAAAGAGATAGGAAACAGAGCTAATTCAGAAGACTGAAATTCAAATAAAATTAAAGCAACAGTATAAACCTCTGAGCCAGGAAATGCAGGCAGGAGTGAATTCAATTTCAAATAGTAGTTGTAGTCAGACTGCAAACATAATTTGTAAGTCGTGCATCAGACCTCAGGAAGAACCCTATAATAAAATCTGTGTCTTGAATCTCCACTGACCTTTACTTCCTCAGCATACCATAATATCCCTGTTGCTCCACTGAAGCCATGCTTCCATGAGAGATGGAAGAAAAATTAAGATTGTGACATGCTTTGGGCTGGGACGTTGTCCTGGTGAAAAAAAATCATTGACTTAAATTTTAATGAAAATCCTTCTAATAGATGGGAAGTAGTGGGGTAAATCCTGTCTCAACAAAATGAAAATAAATCCATTGAACATGGGAGCTCTGTTTTTCAAATGCTTCTTTTTGTTGTCACAATGGATGCTAACACCATCACTCTGTCAGAAAGTGCAGCTTGAGAACAAAATAGTCGTATCTGGCTTTTCCTCGGAAATTAAAAGCCTTGACTATTCCTTCTGCATAGCACATTATGCAGTTGATGAACCAGTTTCTTCTCTTCAAAACGTAACATTATTGTAAGAATAATGTATTAAAACAATAACTGGGAGCTTTTTTTTAACTCCACAGTAGAAAGTAATGAGAAAATTAATTTTTACCTGAAATTTTGAACTGGGAAAAAAATCTTATTTCTTTCATAATTCTGGGTAAATTCTTTTATATTTTTTGACCTGTAAAATAATAAGGCATTTTAAAGCATATGATAATTTATTTTGTCTGCAAGAAATACATCACCGATGAATATTAAACTTAAACATGTTCTAGTTTAAACAGATTGTAAAGCAGATGTCGTGAGAAAGCTAAATAAATAATAAATACAATGAGAGGAGTCAGGATTACTCACAGAGTGAAAATGAAAGCCCTAATAATGACAACGTTGTGAACAAAACATTTGAAGAAAATGCAGGATACATAGCTTATGGTTGGAAGTTCTCTGGGATGTATTTTATTCCAAACTTAGAATCTAGTATCATGAATGTAAAGCATGGTGAAAATTTGAGGTGATATACCAATTACATTGCAGCATAAACATCAGCTTCAAATGTCCCTAATATATACTCTACATTATGAAGATGTTATAGTTAATAGCGTTAGTTCTTTAGTAAAGAGACTAGAAATTCTTCAAGTTAATTTGATTTGGCTGTGTAAATTCTCCATTTAACTAATAAACCTTTTTTTTTAAATCTTGAGTATTTTCTTTTTACATATAGTCTAATTTCCAGAAAGCAATTGAGAGTGTTTAAACTGATCATTTTTATGGAATATGCATGGTGTGACATGAGCAACATAAACAAATACATTAATTGCCTTATCATAGTTTTATCTGACAGATGGGTCCCCAGGCACAGAGCCTAACCTTTTATTTTGACACCTGCCACATCTTGCCAGTCCTGACCCTTTTTCTTTGCCAGAGTGTCGCTGTGTGGTTCACCATGGTCGCATTAATCTCCAGCTTTTAGGAGGCATAATGTTGGAGTCCTTCTGAGAATCACAGCCATCAGTCAGCTGATACCACAACAGAGAGTATTTCACAGATCCATCCAACATCCTCTCTCTCCTGTGATTCAAACATGTTTTCTCGTATTCCTGTGACCTACTGGCTCAATAAGATTACACGGAGCGCCATTCAGTGGAAGGCCCCGTATTGTTAACATGTGACAGGAAACGTTTAATTTAGTAGTCACTTAAAATTCAGAATTAATTGGAGATTTTTTTTTTAAAGAAGCTATGTTTTGACTTTTGTGCTAAATGATACTTTTTGCCCACAAAGAAAATGTGCATTTTACTGTAGCTTATGAGTTAAAAACAACAGGAACACTTACATTTCGAAAGACAACGAACCATCAAGGCGATAATCATGTGTTGTAAATCACAGCACACACAATCTCCTACTTGCACCTTCAGTTTCTGGGGGGATTCCAGAAACCATTGTCCCATGTTATGCGTCCCGGTTAGCACAGCTAAAAGCACATGTCTGGTCCATTAAAGAGTGAGGTTTGGTTCTAAAGAGTTTCACAAATCAGCGAACATGCAGAAGACAGGTGAATTACGAGAGCACATCCATTACTGAGGTAATTTGGTATAAATTTCCAGAGATTGTCTCCTTAAGCAAAAGCAGACTATAACAAATTACAGAAAATGCTGTAATCAATCTTTGAGGGGAGGAATTTGGAAACAAAGAAACAGAAAATTAGATATGTAGATAAGAGATAGAATTTTAGAAGCATGTAGAGTATTCCACTAGCTCAGACCAGTTCGGTTTGAAATATCACTGCCGAAATGTGTAATTTGTCTTCCTCAGTGGCATCTGTTAGTTCTGGAATAAGCTTATTTGATAAAATGTAAAAAGCCTGGGACCAAGTCTTGGTTAAGCTAAGTTTCTTAATAATTTAGAGGCCCATTTGTGCCAGCCAGGTTATATATGTACACTGAAAGAAGTATGGGATCTATATCTTACAACAGTCAAAGAAAATGCTGTTTCATGCCTGGGGCTAAGGGCTATTGGAGTCAAGGTAATTATAGAGCGATGGCAGCTTCATGCACCTCTGCAGAGTCAGCAGTTCTGTAAGCTTTACTGATCCCTTATTAACATGACTCAGCTCTATGGCACATATTCCTCTTTTTGCCCTGACACTTTCCAGCTTTCACAGGTCACTCTGAGGTCCTGATGCCTCTGATGTGCCTTGGTATGCTATAGAAAATCCTTTCTTCATGTGTTAAATCTAAATCCAGAGACAAAACAGCAACAACAATAATACACCCAGCTCAAGTTTTAAAACATAATTACCAAGTTCACAGGTTACTAGCCACACTGTGGCCCTGGTTCAACCAGCTGGGGAGAGGGCCAGAGAAAGGAAAGTATGTGTGTAAACATGGCAACTTGGTTGGCGTGCATTCTTGATGATGCTGATCCTCTTAGAGATTTGTCTTGATGGGTTGAACAATACTCAGAATGTAGTCCAGGCACGGGAAGTGTTCCTGGTGTTGCTCATTACCCACCCAGAGCAATGAACACACTGAAGACTGCAGTTTAGGAAATCTTTCAGCTCTCTGCTAAGGACATTTGACAGCTTCTGAGTCTAACAATCAAATCTCAGACTACTTTTTTTCCTAACTTGTTTCTTAAATTTTTGTAATAACGTAATTATCCATATTGATTTTTTTAAGTGGTAATGATCGCTAATATAGTAGTGGTGGGTAAGAAACCAGAATTTCGCAGGATTATAAGACTCGGATGGTTTTAGACTGCCCCTCTAGATGATTAATATATAAAGATCAGATCTTTATGATCAAATTCTAATTCTCTGAGCACTGGGTTCCTCCTCAGAAAGCAGACACTGTAATGGCAACTCACTAGCTCACATTAGCATCATAATAAGAAGACAAAAATAGAGTGAATTTTGAAAACTAGTAATAGACTAATCAAAATTAAGTCATTATATTTTTCTCTTTTTCAACTCACTCTTGGGGGTTTAAGAGATAACTCAGTGGGTAAAGTGTTTGCCATGCAAGCTTGAGGATCCTCAGATCCTGTGTAAAGCCAGACACAGTAGTGTGAATCTGTACTCATAGCACCCCTGCAGTATGATAGGAAGTGGAGACAGAGGATTCCTTGGAAGCTTGTGGTTCAGCAGACAAAAAAACAACAAAGAGAACCTGTCTCAAGGTGGAAGATCAACACTGGAGGCTGTCCTTGTGCTGTGGTACTTACACATAGTAACACACACATACACACACACACACACACACACACACACACACACACACACACACACACAGAAACAGACACACAGATACACAAATCACATGCATATACATATATATATATAAGTATATGCAAATCACATACACACTAAGAACTAAGATTAAGAAATTTAGCCATCCTCTCTCTCTCTTTCTTTCTGTCTATCTATCTATCTATCTCTCATCTCTCTACCATCTGGAAAAATCAATATTTTTATAATAGTTATATTTAATAGTTATTATTTGAATATTATTATCCATATTATTATGGATCCCTCATGTGATATGGCTGTTTTAGATCATATTGCTTATTTCTGTTGTATATACTGCTATTTTTTTTCCCAAACAGTAACTAGATACTAAATTTGCAAAGCTTGCTTCAGGAAACATCCTGTTCTTGAGGTCTGAAGCTAACTTGATTGTGAATGTTATTTAAAAATATTTAAGCAGTATAATATTTTAAAAACTACCAAGAGGAAGTACATATTTAATAAATTAATGAAAATATATTAAAGGCTAAAAATATCCAAAAGCAGGAGAGAGAGTTTCATGATATACAGTTGAGGGAAGTTCATATTGCAGGTGGAATCCATGCAGAGTTTAGAATAATAGATTATATTGTGAAAGCAAGGGAAAAAACTACCTTATTTCAGGCAGAATAAACCCTCCAATGAAAATCATAGATTCAGCTCATTTATGTATACATGTGCATTGATGTATAAATACAGAAATGTGAGAAAATAAAGGCAGTCAGAAACACAAAACCAATAAAATTTAAAGTCTGCGAATAAAATTGGAAACTGCAAAAGATTTTTGTAGTTTCCAGCACCTATTGAATAATATTAGATTTTTAAAACTGGACATCTAGAAATAGAATTGCTGGACCAGTGTGCTGGTTCAGCAGGTAAAGGTAGGTGCTTTCTACTCAGCCTAAAGACCTGAGTTTGACTCTTGGAAGCCAATGGTCAAAGAGAGAACTGCCTCCAACAGTTTTCCTCTGAATTCCAAGTGTTCTCTGGTGACACATAGGCCCGCATACATGTACAGACACAAACACAAGCATACACACATGCACAGCAACTAAATAAAGACAGAAAAAGAAATAGAACTGCTTTTACAATATATCACTTTCCATCATGTATACCAAAGGCACATTACAGGAGTAAAGTGCTAAAAATTATTTCTTCCAAATACAATGCAATGCAACATTGTTAATTGAAGTTTCTTAAACCTCTTAAACATTTCAAGGAATAAAAGCACTATTTAAATAATATTAACATGTTTTCCTGTGGCCATCTGGCATCTCAGTTTAGTGCAGAGAACAAACAAACTAAATGGCAAGAGAATTGCTTCCTTAATGAACAACTTTATAACCTCAACAGTTTTATTAATTTGCAATACAGACATACTAATTAAATTACAGAATTATCACAGAGCATTAAGAAACTTTGGACCACTGTACACATATAGTACCTTACTTAGAAACATCTACTTGGTAAGAATGTCATTCATTAATTTAATAATTTAAAACTACAATATAGTTAATAATGAAACATGGTGAATCCCATGCAAGCTTGTGGCCTTTCAGCATTCAACCATGGCACAGAGTCTAAGTGAAAAGCGATGGTAACGTCCTTCTAACCACGTGAAGTTCCTTTCCAGATAGGGTTGAAATCAATGATCTCATTATTCCAGAAGCTGACAAAGCATGCCAGGCTAAGGAGGTCACTGTGTGGCAGGCTAAGCAAGCACACTGTGGTGCTACAAACACATAGGGTGGGACTAATCCCAGCCTGGGATTTGGGGAGTAAGACAGTATTAAAAATCAGAGAGGTAACTCCACACAGTGATCTTCATGTACACAAAGTGAAACTGAAAATGAGAAATATGAACACTCTCAGATGTTTCCATAAAATTGGAATAGAAGCTACGTGTCTAATTCACTCAAAAACAAAACAAAACAAAACAAAAAAACAAAAAACCTCAGTTGCTGCGGGGGGGGGGGGGGGGGGGGGGGGGGGGGAGGGCAATAAAAGTGTATCAGAATTATCAAACAAGAAGGAATTAATGTGGAGATGATGAAAACACATCTGAACCATCTAGAAGTGGCTTATAGCCTCCTCTGAAGTTTTTCTGTGTCCAGGGCACAGGCAAAAAAGAGCATATTGAACACAGAAAAACGACAACACAATTGATTGGAGCTTTCTTCCCCAGGCTTGAACGTTTTAAAACCAAAGATTGTCATTTCCATGGTGTTTGCTAGTTAATATTCTTTGTCTTCTCTAGTGTTTCAGTTACTTAAGATGGTAATTCTAGCATTGGAGTCGGTAAATATATTGCTTTGATGGTTGATGTCTGAATACTTCACATTTTTTCATTTTGTATTTTGGTCTGTAGTATGTCTGTGGATGTTTCTTCTTCACATGTATGAAACAGTTAATTTTGTTTCTCGTTTGATGACTTCTTTACAGTAGTCACATAAGGCATTAGTCTTGTTTTCTTTTATAGAGAGTGGCCTGCCACTCCTGGCCCCTGACTCAAGCTCTATGCTGAAGAAAGCTGTATTAGCTGGGAACACTTAAGGGCTCCTAAGGAAAAGGCAGAGAAGGTAGTTTTTCAGTAATAATTTTTCTAACCTCTTCTTTTATGTAAAATTAATTAATTTTGACATTAATTATTGACATTAAAAGATTAGTTAATTAGGCAAATGTAACTCAAACCAAACAAAAAACCAGTTCTTCTCCTGAGAAGTTCCTTTGCAAAAAAAGAGGCAATTCATCTCCTTTCCCCTGTTAGAAAAGACACACTGGTTCTGTTGTCATCATTTTCGAGTTAGCCTTTATGTTTCTTCCTTATACATCTATTTGTTTATTTGTATGTTCAGGGTCCTTTTCAGTTTTTTGTTTTTCGAGACAGGGTTTCTCTGTGTAGCTTTGGTGCCTGTCCTGGATCTTGCTCTGTAGACCAGGCTGGCTTTGAACTCACAGAGATCCTTCTGGGTCTGCCTCCCAAGTGCTGGGATTAAAGGCCTGCGCCACCACTGCTTGGCCAAGCTGATGTTTCTTTAAATATCAGTCATCTCCTCTGCCTATGTTCAGTTTGGCTTCCTAAATGTTTCTGTTAAGAACACTTTGGATCTCAAACTCGGGGGCTGCACTCAGAAATCAATTATAAATCTCCCTTTGAGCCTTGACATTATTGATCAACTTCCTTGATATGTTTTTCTAACCCCATCTTCATGCTTTGTTCGGGAACGTGCAGCTTTCCTAAGGATCAGCTTCCCACCCCCACTTTCCTTATCATTCTGAGGATAAAACTCTGTTCTTGCAAAGCTCCACTTGTATCTCAGCCAGGCATTTCCCAAAGCATTACCTCACACCATTCTGACATCTACTTGATGTCTAGACACAGGCACCTCAAACTCCACACATCCAAACGCTTCTCACCACACACTTTCCAGGTCCTTTCCTCTGAGAACCAGGCTCCTGTCTTGGTTTGGTTTACATCTCCCCAAAGGTTCATATGCTCGAGGCTTGCTCTCCAGGTTGGAAATTTGAGGAGATAGTCTGGATCTGTAAAAGAGGAGGATCCCGGAAGAGGGACGGGATCACAGCAGGTTCTTGGGCAAATCTTGACATGAATGGAACATTTCTACAGGGATTCTGGTGAGTTTTTAAAAGTAGGTTATTTTAAAGGTTTGAAGTTGGCCCTACTCAGACTGCCTGGCTTTCCCTGTGATGGGGTGAATTCTTCCTTCCACACGGAACCTCTTCTCTGTCATTTGCCATGATGCAGCTATGAACAGAAGGACCCTCTCTTTCCCCCACAGCCTGAAGCATGCTCTTAAACCACGAGCCAGTCAACATTTCTTAAGAAAGGAAAACACCATGCCATTAGTCACTTCAAGTATTTCACTTCAATTGCTAAAAATATACTAAGGCAGTCCTTAATCCGTGGACGTATCACCATAGGGTTTGCACTTCTAAATGCTCTGAATTTTGCTTCAGCTCTATTTTGGTGTCTGCTCCCTCCTCTGAATTCTCATTTTTTTTTGCCATTAATCTTTAATTCAACTCGAAACTAAAACATGAAATTTTTCTCTAAGCCTACGTACATCCATTTTGAAAAACCTGTTTCTGTCCATAACCCTCAATGACTTTTAGTAAGATTTCTCAACTATATTAAACATTTCAATCATGTAGCCAAATATAGTTGCCTAGCCTGCTTTCTTTGGATTCCACATCTAGGTTTTTTTTTTAATTTTTTAACATTTATTTGTTTATTTATTTATCTTTATTGTTGTGTGTGGTGTGCCATAGTGAAAAGAAGACAATTTGAATGAGTCAGTTCTCTCTTTCTACCATGTGCATTCTGGGCATGGAACTCAGGTCCTCAGGCTTGGTGGCACATGCCATTACCCATTGAGACATCTCATCCTCCCTTATTCTGTATCTTTTAAGACAGTGTGTCACTCAGCCTTTCACCCCATACTACAGTCTCAGCATCCAGAGAATGAGGACTTTGTGCTATTTATCTGTATACCCTAGAATGTCTCATAAAGCTAAAGAAAAATAAATGAATGCAGTAGCTTTGGTCACCATTCCACTGTCCCTGGCACTGCCACATCCCCACATACAAGTTTTCGGTCTATGTGTTCCCTGGAATCACTGGGGAGATTCTGAGAAATACTCAGCCTCCGCCTACAGAGATTCCAATTTAATTGCCTTGGGTGGGATTCAGTAAACGGTATTTTTAAACGTTCCCCAGACAATCTGAAGTACGCCCAAAGTTAACTTTTGAGATAGAGAGTAAAGTGTAGGCTGTGGAAACTTGAATTTTGAATCTAGTTTAAGATTAATTTTCATGTACTATATTTACCTCAACAATCAAATCCACCCAAACGAATCATTTAGCCCTTCCCCATGCAAGAGAATTTGATACTTAATAGATCTACCGCTAATGGGAAATGTATGCAGAAAAAAGTACTCATTTTAACACGAAATTTAGCCTTTGGAATCTATACATAATTAGATTAGAATATTTAAATGAACATGTCATAGAACCAGAAAGAAAACATTCAAGGCACATGTGTAGGCCTTTTCTTACCTATTAGATTAAACAACATTCCATCACATTTTGATTGTTTATACTTGCAGTTTTAGTTAGGACTGAATTAAACCCAAGTCAGGCTATTTTAAATTTTAGAGGTTATTGATCTTTCATATGTCTTGTGTGACCATCCACAGTATTGATCATCTTTAGAGTCACAGGCCCTGTAAGATCTTCAAGCTCCCTACAGGTTTTGTTTTCTCTAAGCTTCAAAGGGCCCACACTGCCTTTACTCTGAAGACTCTTCTAAGATCACAGTTTCTTTTAATTTGACATTGTCTTTATAGGCAGATATAACATGTACTTAGAAAATTTTGCAAAGTTTAATTCTAACCAAAAAACAAATGTGTACTGTCTAATCTGTATTTTAGAAAACAATCGACTTTTCAAAAACATCATTGAAGATTCAGCTATGTTCTTGTTATGAAATATTAATCATTTTTAAAATTTAAATGTCTGTGTGAGTGTGTGTGTGAATGTGTGTGAGTGAGTGATTGTGTGAGTGTGTGTAAGTATGTGTGTGTGTGTATGTGAGTGTGAGTGTGTGTGTGTATTGGTAAGTTCTTCGTTTGTCATCCCTTCTCCTCATTTACTCAGAGTGTCAGAAATTTATTCTTCACACTTGATCTCTCAGAGGGATAGGCAGGTGAGTGAACAAAGAATCCTCAGTTCTTTTGAAGTTGAGCACAGAAAACTGAGGCTGGGGCCATAGCTCAGTTGGTAGAATGTATGTGAGTGGCCCTGGCTTAGATCTACATCAATTCACAATACCAGGCTGGGTAGTTCACATCTGTAATTCCAGCACTAAGTGTATGGAGACAGAAGGATCAAGAAAGAGTTCAACCTTGGCTTCATAGTGAGTTCTAGACCAGCCTGGGATAAGTGAGAATCTGCCTTAAAAACAGTAACAATAATGACAACAAAACCAAACCAGGAAACCTGGAACCTGTGCGGAATGGAGAGTGTTCAACATTTAGGAAAACATTTGAGGGAAAATCTTTTATTGCTACTTCAGCAAAAATCTCAGGATTCCTGAGAAAGAGGCACAGACAGGGAATCTCCATGTGAACCGTCCATAGAAACAGTATTCGGGGCTAATAGAAGTCATAAAGATGGGAGGAAGAGAAACAGTGGATTTCAAGCTAACAGAATCTGTCTGTGAGTTTAAATCCCGCCTCTGACATCCAGGATAGAAAGCTTCTTTTATTTGTTTAGGAAACTACTCCAAGATTTACCTCCTAACATCTAAGCAGAGTCTCTTTACTTTCATTGTTTATAATGAACTCTAATCTTGGATGACCTACCAGGCTTCACATTTCATATCTTCGCTTCCATTGCGTTGTTTTAGCATAACTTTAATGGCTTCTAGGAACATGCTAAAAGGCTTCTGCCCCCTGCTGTGGACAAGTTGTCAAGATTTGGCCAAAACTCCATGTCTAGAAGCTTCACTTTACTCCTTGGGATTGTTCACACATAATAGCAAATCTCCCCTGCCGCTTAAAAGATCATGGATTCTCCTATTTTCTTTCTATTGTTCTTTTCCCATTTCATGTGTGTTTATAGCATGGATCTATGTGTATGCTTGCTTGCATGTGTGGATGCACATTCATGTGTGTGCAGTTATCTGACATGTAGGGGAGCATGCATGTGTAAGCCAGAGGTCGATTTCCATAATCATTTTTGATCTTTGCTTTTCCACCTTATTCATCAAGACAAGGTCACTCAGCCAATACCCAGACTTGCTGATACAGCTAGTCTTGCTAGCCAGCCTGCTCTGGGAAATTACAGTTCCTGCATGCTCTCAGCATTTGTATGAGTTCTGGGGATATGAACTCAGCTCCTCACACTTGTGCACAAGCAGTAAGTTCCTTAACCACA